TGATTTATGTAAGAAACAGATGAATGTGTCAGAGCCTCTTATGAAAACTTTTATTGTTCCTGATAATTGTTTATACTATACTTTTGTTTCCTACTCCCACACTGGGCCGAGGCACAATAACTTCACCACTTGATGTTAATTAAAATACCAGCTGTGAACAAATTATCAGTCTCTTTAATTTAAAGACAGAAAGTTGTCTTGTTTCTCTGAATGCATGACGTCGCTCATGTTCTCTGGTAACATGATGGAAAGAAAATGTGGCAAGTGTTTCTTTGACGTCACCCGACAACATGAAGGGGCCGCTGTGAAGCTCAGTGTGGTCAGCTCTGGCTGTCGCCATTTTGGCAGTCCCGACTACGTAGTCTCCTGGCTAATCCAAAAATAAAAAATAAAAAAATCGTGTTTACCCTACAATTTCATGTAAAAATGGCTGTTAGAGTTGGACCCTGGTATTATTCTGTATCTGATTTAATGAGGCTGATGCTAAGTGTGGTAAGATACCAAGAAAATACCACATGCACAATAGAAACTAATTAAAACATTTCAGATGGCTGGTTGTGATTAAATGCAAATGGAAACTGTCTCGTCTCCTGCCAGTTTATTAGATTAACACAACAGTTGCTGCTGCTTGATTAGCAGCTTATAGAGATTCAGCATTGTAACTCCTGGATGCCATTTAAGCAACATTATTGCAACAAGCAATTCAATTCTTTAATGTTGAGAACTTTGTGATTTTAGTTTCCCGTGCAGATTTTTAATAATCGCAGCTCGCCAGTATCACTTCAGTCGGTTTCTTAGTTTTTGTCCACTTGTGATGTTTAATCGATGTCTTATTCTTAAGGAATTTCTTTTTCATATGCTATTGACTGGACTGAGTTATAACATCTGGCTTACACTTGACTTTAATTTCATTAATGCTTTTAATACACAGGGGATCATCTTGACCCACTTCCAGTGAAGGACAGAGTTTATTTTCCTTCCTTCCCAAGTCTCAGAATTCCTGTCAAACCAAATACTTTTACATGTGCGTTCGGTGGAAGAGAATCGTCATAAGAATTTGTTGTAATTTTTGGATTCTCCGACTGTTAGTCTTTATACTCCATTTCAGATGTGTCTAATGGCCACTTATGGTTGGCCCTCAATTCCCTTCTCCCTTCTGATTTTATCAGCGCACAACAAAAATAGACAAGAGGGCCAGGAAAGTAATGTTGTCTGAACTGTCTGGTGAGGACAGACTATACTGTTGTGCAATACAAATAGTGTTTAGGGAGGAATTTGAGCTTAGGTTGAGTAGATAACACTTTCATGCGTTTCATTATCTTTAAAGTTTAGAATATTGTACACGATAAATAACTGGACAGATTTAGCTGTTTTGACATTTGACAGCTGGTTCTTTTTGGGTGCACACAATTAAAGAACTGTCAATTTTGATAGCATTATTAGGTTCATTAATTTAGGTTATTTTCTTTGAGTTACCAGTTCCTGGGTGTCGCTGCTGGAGGTGTTTCTTGGCCGTCAAAGGAAGTAGTGGCTGAATCAGACCTGTTTCAAAAGGAGTTGGGCTGATAATTGGGTTGCACCATGTTAACATGCATCGTGGAGAGAGGCGAGTGTTTTGTCCTAGTTTGAGTTTTGTTATTTCTTTGATAATTATGCTTTGATATTAGCGTTTCAGTATTTCTTCTTAGTTTATATTAGACTGCGTTATCTTGACATTGTTATTGTCTGTTGTTCAAATGTTACGTTTTAGTCTATTCCCCACGTGTATCAGAGTGGCCTAATCTGCCGCTATTTAAGTTCCTTCAACATCTTAATTTAGTTTAAGTTAATGTAGCCTGAGTTAAATTCTGTTTAGGTGACCTTTTATGGGCCCAGAATGTTAGGTTTTGTAAATTGGTTATTTTCATATTTTTGGTGAATAAAATGACTCTCTGGAAAATGTACCTCAGACTCCTCATCCCTGCCAACTCGGTCCCTTACAGAAACATTATAAACTGTTATTTTTATTTATTTTCCACAGGATTTTGTCTTATCAATTTTGTGCAATTGAAGGATTCTGATGCTGGCACATCTTTTTATGAGATTGTATGCAGGGATTTAATTAGGGAGTTCTTCCTCCAGTCTTTGTGTTTCTGTATCCCTGGTGAATATTTAATACCACTGGAAAGCTTCAGGTCAAAAAACAACCCTACTTCTGCTGAAGTTAGAGACGATATCTGCTACCATCTCATCTCTCCCTCAACTGACCTTTCTTCCCCTCTGCTCTTAATGATCTCTTATGGCCACATTTGAGACTCATGAGTGATAGGCTCAAGTCCAAAGAGGAAGAAAAGGGCAGGTATTTGGAAAAATGTCTGAAGATTGGAAATGACTGTTTGCAATTAAATCAGCATGTATTGCTGCCATTCCCTGTAAGGGATGATAAACAGGGGATTTTTTTAAAGAGGGTTTCAGATAATATCAAAAGTTAAAAACCTATTAGAGGCACATGTACACACCCACAAGGGCACCAACTTTAACCAAATCTCACGTACACTCCCACACACTTAACTACACCCAGAGCCTCACTGCTGAAGTGATCTAACATGGAGCTGTTTTCACTTACACTGGACAGCGGATTTATAACAGCGCAGGTAAAACAATTAAAATAGTTACACATACCAGAGCAGGGTTCACCACCTTAAAAACATCAAATCTTTGGGACAAAAATAAAATGACAAATTAAAACAATTTAAATTACCAGATGAAGTGAAAGCAATGATGTAACACAAAAGTGTTGATATTAGGGTAGCAGTCGATTCATTGATTAAGAAAGAGTGAAAGGACAACAATTTAGGTCGTTAAAATAAAGAAGTGTTTGCTGGTTCAGTCCTCTCATGAGGATTACAAATGAAAGGACACAAATAAAACGCATATGTAGTTACATTATATTAGATTGATTTTTTTGCTTTATTTTCATTGTATGTACAAGTGAAGTATTAACAAAATGAAATTTAGCATTAAACCTGAAGCAAAATGTGCATATATGTATATAGTGGAAATATATATAGAATAAACAGTAAGATATGAATAAAATTAGGTATCAGGAGCACTTTCAGCCACGGACTGAGAGCCTCAAGTGGTTTGGAGGCACGTTTGTACCATCAGCCATCAGACTCCACAACACCACAATACTCAGCGTCAAGTGGCCCTCACTTTTGTGAGGTTTGACGTGCAGTTACCCCCACTTGAAAAGGCAGCTTGCTTCAGAAGACTTTTTAACTGGAATTCACTCAATGACAAAGATTTATCTTTTTTTTATTTGAAAGTTGCGGAGGCCAATAGCAGGTGAAAAACCTTAAATACAAACAGTCTTTAAGAAAATGTAGAAACCATAATGAATCACCATAATCCAAACTCAAATACTTAATTTTTTACCTACTAGAAACTAATCTCAAATTAGTAAACTAACATTTAAATTACCAAAAATAAATTAAACACATTTTAAAGCACTGTTTGATGATGATTTTAACTTAATGATCTTTAGCAGCTTTTACCTCTTTTAAATACAAATAAATCACATTTATCAAATTACTTTTACCGTGACTACTTTTTAAGTACACCACATTTCTTAACCCATATATAAATTATATCACATTTTAACTTTCATTTAAGTCACATGACTTTTTAATACATCACATTTTAACCTAAATGAAAGCTCACCAGCTCCTTCTTCTTTGATTGAAACAAGCTTTAGTCCTGCAGTCTTATTTCCCCAAATCCAGTCTCTCCAACCATTTCTTTTACACTGCTTCCTCCTACCCTGCAGCTCAACTTAACACCCAGTGCACCCAGTACCTCCAACCCCTGCTGACTAAGACTGGTTTTAACTTCAACCAAACAATTTATCTTTAATCTTTAAGTTTGCACATGTACAGTTTAGTTTAGTTTTTCAAAGGAAAATACTGCTCACACCATTTTACTGCATATTGCATATAGTGTGTACATTTTTAATTTATAGTCTTATATCTTCTATTATATTTAGTTAATATTCTTATATTGTGATTCTTATTGTACTTGTACACTCTGTACTCTTTGCACTACATTCCCCTATGCTGCTGTGTTTGACTTGAATTTCTCCTAAGGGGATCAATAAAGGTACATCTTATCTTATCTTATCTTATCTTATCTTATCTTATCTTATATATACAGTATGAACTGTTTTAGCATTAAAAAAAACATAGTGCAGGTGTAAGTGCAAGTTATAAATAGTTGGAGGTATGATATGAATACAGTGTGTACATTATTAGATCAGATATATACAGTAAATATGAATACACTATACTAAGACTTAGACTTCTCTTTATTGATCCTTTTGGGATGACTCCTGCAAGGAAATTGGATTTCCAGCAGCTTACAAAACTCTTGTATAGAAATAAAAAGAGCTATAAAAAATACAGTATAAGATAAACAATAAACTCTTAGCTAAATATAGAAAGTAAACAATAAACAGTAAAAAGTAAACAATAAACTCTTAGCTAAAAATATAAAGTAGAGATAAGAATTCACGGAAAATAAAGTCAAATAAGATAAATGTAGAGAACTGTGTAGAGGATAAATACAGATAAATAAAGATAAATATATAGGACTGTATATGGCATTGTGTTATTATATAGTGGATAAATGAAATTAGCAGAAATTAGCAGTTAAATTAAATTATTGCACTTGAGTGATGGATTAAGTTATTGCACAAAAAAAGAAGAAGAATAGTGTCCAGGTATGTATGAGTAGATTATTAATTGCACATTGCTACCACTCCTTCCCTTCTGTCCTCTTTACCCTATTTCCTCCTCCCCCCGAGTGAGGAGTTGTAGAGTATGATGGCATGAGGGACGAAGGAGTTCTTGAGTCTGTTGGTCCTACACTTGGGAAGGAGCTATACATTAACACCTGTATTTAGACGTCACCAATAATGGGAACAAGGGCTGAAATAACAACAAAAATGTGGATTTAACAGGAAATATTGTTCAGTGTTTTAACATTTATTGTTTTGAGAGTTACTCTTTTACATTAGCCTGTGAGTTTAAGTGCTGATGCATACATTGAGAGTCATAGACACAAAGAAAATCCTTTATACTGACCATTTAGGGTTATACTGTGACTGTTTGGCAGCTTACTCATACACTAAAATCAGCGTACACTTTTATAGCTCCAGCCTACAACAGAGACCACAGACAGAGATAATACATTTTAAAAGCATTTGCAATAAATGAATTTCCTTTACGACATTAAAAGAAAACTATAAACTGTACAGGGGACGGCTTGTACATCCCCATGATTCACCGTAAACTGAAGCACATTCCAGTCAGTGTTGGACTTTCCAAGCCTTGGCATCACTTAAGTGGTTTGTTGTCTTTAGAGTTGCCTTTTGTCTGCAGCAGAGACGAGCGGGTTGGTGGTTTACCTCTCAGAGAGGTGTTGTGTTTTGTCTTTTAAGGTCAGCTGCAGACAGAGACCCCTCGCTGCAGCACGTCACTGTAAACATAAGTCACGCTGTAATGAATGTGTGATGGCTGGAGAGTCGGAGCAGACTTAAGTGCACCGTGTGTTCACATTCAACGCTGTCCATCAGCCGTCTGTTGTTACTCACAGCCATTTACAGTCATTGGGACAAAGCTGTGTGCTGAGCTGTGGACACAGAGGTTTGTCAGTGGGGAAAATACAAACCACAACAACACACTGGGACAGATTTATTTCTAATTATATATTTATGTGTTTAATTAAATATTTAGCAGCTTATTCACTGATGGTCTGTTCATGAAGCTTTTCCACCAAGCATTGTTTGTCAGAGTGCTGACTGCAACGTCATCATTATAATTGAAGGAAAAAAAGTCTCAGAATAAAAACTAGAAGTAGATTAAAACAATGGTTCCCAACAAGGGGATCCCCACCTCCCACTTCACAGGGGTCAGGGGGGTTCGTAAGGAGTGTAGGAAAACCTTTTAAAGATATACAGTCTGCAGTAGATTATTTAGTTTAGATTATTATTTAAGTGTGGCTATAGATCAATGTTTTCATGTATTCATTTATTTGTAATTTGGGTGAACTGAGCCTTTAAAAAGAGCTGATTATCAGTGTACGTGTATGTGGACCAAAACACTGAATCATCAGTATCTAATTAACAGATTGTGATCGTTTACCAAGTGTAGGAAATGGACATTTTTGAGTAATCCATGTATTGATTTGGTGTATTTTTGTGAGGAAATCAGGTGAGAATCTGTTGACAGCCAACTCAGAGGTATATATTTGATATATTTGATGAACAGTGAATAGTCAGGAGGTCACCAATTGTAAGTCTGGAAGAGAACAACAATGCTGCATGAAGTAATGAGACTTGATTCATCCCACCGGGTTTGTAGAACTAGCAACTCTCAATATATTTGGAAGAATTTCTCCTACACAAGTTTCCCCTTAATCCCTCAGGAAAATCTAATAATCAGATAAAAGTGAACAGAAAGATAAGATGACTCAAGTAAAAGTCTGTTTCTAAAATTTACTGCAGCAGATTTATGACCAAAGTTTAAAGTTTTGAGCTAGTTTTGAATTTGGGGGTATTTATATTTAATCTCTCGCCTTTCACATTTCCCAAAAAAAACCCACAAACCTCTTTTGAAGTGTTTTTAATGTAATTTGGCTGTAATGAAACTCTTTATTGATCTCAAATCTTGAGCAAATAGAACCAAAACTATCTGCGTGGATATAAATGGTTCCTGGGTGAACTGAGCCTTTAAAAAGAGTTGGTAAGGTTCAAACACAACAGCTTAATTTTATTTCATTCTTTGGGATTTTCTGCCATAAATTGAGTGAGCAGAGTTAATCAAACTATCTAATCCCCTTCAGACCTTCAGATATGCTCTGCATCCAACTATGACTCAGTGTGGTTGAAAACAGTCTCTTCTGTCTCTATACATCATCGTGTTTATGTGCCCATAGCTTTACTCTCATGCTGACCTCCTGACATCCTGACCTCCTGCCACCGATATTACGCAGAGCTGCGATGACGCCAGCTTCTGCAGATGAGACATGAGCAAACACACAAAAACGTATATTTCCCTGTCTCACAGCATCCCATCGTACACGTCCGTGTCAGGCTGCTGGATGGTTCAGTTTATTAGAGACAGCCCGCCTCCCCCTCAGCTGTGCGCAACGACCTCTGTGATCAACTACATCTGGATTACTGGAAAGCAGAGGGGATGAGACTACCAGAGAAAATACCCCCGCCGACTCTTTATCTTCTTTTGCAAGTTGTTAAAAGGGAAATGCATCCTCAGATCTACAACAGACCAAAGGAAATATCGCTAACAAACACCAGCCTGTGGGCATATTTGGCGATGGAAAACCCAAACTTTACGCACGGATCTGTTACCAACGGGACGCTGGTCCAGCGTTCACAATCGACCGGGGTCGAGAATAAAATCGCTTTACCCATCCTTATGTTCGCTGGAGGCGCCTTTGGGAATTTAATTGCGATAATCGTCCTTTCAGTATCAAGACAGGAGAGAAAATCTTCCGCTTTCTACACGCTGGTTTGCGGTCTGGCGGTGACGGACCTGCTGGGCACCTGCCTGGCCAGCCCGTTCACCATAGCCAACTACATGGACCAGAAAGTGCTCCAACACCATAATGTCTGCGAGTTTCACTCATTTTTGTTGCTGTTTTTCGGTTTAACGGGGCTGAGCATCATATGCGCCATGGCAGCAGAGCGGTACCTGGCTATATGCTGGCCGTACATCTACCAGCGGTGGGAGGTGGACCGACGCTTCGCGCAGAAGTTCCTGTTATTCATTTACATCAGCCACATTTTCTTCTGCTGCCTCCCGATGATGGGCATGGCGAGGAGCGAGCTGCAAACGTCCTCTACTTGGTGCTTCATCGACTGGAAGACAGTGTACTCCGTCCTGTACGGCGTCGTCAGCCTGCTGCTCATCCTGGGCACCATCGTGCTCAACCTGTTGGTGTGCGGAGCGCTGCTGCTGATGCGGCAGAGGACCGTGCAGCGGCCCGTCACCAGAGCCAGCGTCCGGGAGAGGTGGAGGGCTCTGTCCTCGGCCGCTGAGACGCAGATGATCGCGGTGTTGGTGATGACCTCCGCGGTGGTTCTGGCCTGCTCAGCTCCGCTGGTGGTGAGTCAGTGTTGGGGTTGTAGTTCAGTAGTAATCGGTTTGCATTGGTTATTAATTATAGTCCTCACTGCCTGCTAATGTATGGAGCAGCAAAAACAGGTGAAGAAGCTTTAGGAGTCACTTCTAGGAGCTAAATAAAGTAGAAAAACATAGATAATGTTTATATCTTAACGTTGAACTAAAGTGTATTAACTTCAGTGGTGGAAGAAGTATTCAGATAAAAGTTAAAGTAGCACTACGTCACTGCACAAATACTCCACTACAAGTAAAACTCTCATTCAAAATACATTAATGTATGATTATTGAATTATTATTGCTGATGCATTGTGGTGTAAGCAGCATTTTAATGGATGTTAATCTTTGTATCCTTTGTATTCTGATGCATCATATTGTGTAACATTAAAGCATGTTTTATAAGTAAAATCTTCAGAATAGTTAAAGAAATAAAGTAGAGATGTTGTATAAATTAGACTTAAATGGAAAAACTAATTTAAACACTTTTATATAGACTCAACTGTAGCCAGAGTGAACAGCTGCTGACATCTGTTATCAGTGTTTGTGCTGCAGCAGATTTATGTCCAACATGAGTTTAGAGTTGTATTTGTATATAATGTGCTCTCTGAATTGTTGATACAGGGATTTGTAGTTTATAAAAGACATTTTATGAAGTCGGTTGATTCTCAGCCTCTGGGTTGGGATCCCCCCAAAGATGAATCTGATGATTAACATTGTTTAATAATTTTTTCATGTTAAATAATTAATAGTTTGCAGTTTCAGGCCTCCAAAAAGTATTAAACTGAAACTATTTGAGAAAGTAAAAATCAAAATATTTCAGCTGCAATCAATTCATTAACCTATTAAACCTTTGACAAGAGGTCACATTAGTCTTCAGGGACCATGAGCCAGAAAGTTTATATTTTATAATAAATTATTAGATAGATATTCAGGAATGATAACCTTTGTTCATGATGGGAAACTTCAACAATAATGAAAAGGGGGACATATTCCAGTTTGATGACATTACAGTGGTTTTAAACTTTACAGTATAAATCTCTGAACTGTATCATCTTGTTTATTCTTTAAAGGTCCGAGTGTTTGCCAACCGCTTCATGCTGAAAAATAATAATAACGACACAGCCGACCTGGCTGCCATCCGGATAGCCTCCGTCAACCCCATCCTCGACCCCTGGATCTACATCCTCCTCAGGAGGTCTCTGTTTCGTCGGTTACTCAGTTTATCCAGGCGAGGCAGCAGCTCTCGCAGTAGTTCTACACATTCAACACCACAAAGGAATCTGTTTTATACCGGAGTCATGATGGACAACCATGTGTTCACACAGCTGATGTGCAACGCCAACGTCATCAGTCAGCTGCCCGCCACCGTCACATTCACTCCGTACGACACAGAGAACCTCCGGCAGACTTAAAGCAGACTGAAGACATGTTGGACATTCATGAATGTTGGCTGCGTCCTCCCGCTGCAGGCAGCTCGGTGCAGAGCCACAGACGTTGTAGTCAGAGGGATGAAAGGACTCACAGCTGGATCGCCAGAGCTCCTGCAGGATTATTTATCAAACAGAGGTGGAGGACTGGTTGCTATCTACAGTGTGTAGACGTCTCCTGCAGGCACTCAGATGTTATTACCAAAGTGCAACAATAAGACTGAGTCTAAATATTGTGCCTGTCACTGTCATCCAGCGTCTCCTCGTTACCATCACATCTCTTTTAAAGTTGCACTTTTTCCTCATCATGTCTCTACAGGATGAGTTCACGGCTACTGTCAGACAGATATTATAGCTCCTTTCATCTGGAGGCTCTGTTCAATAGGCCGCTGACTCTTAGAAGATCCGGGGTTAAAGGTCACGGTAACAGAGCAAGAGTCTGTTTTTACTAGAAACTGGGTAATCCATCGCAACTCATTTTATAAAAGATGTTGGAGGTTGGACTCCTTCCTCAGTTACAGGCACATAAATGGTAAATGGACACTGTACTTGTAAAGCGCCTTTCTAGTCTTCTGACCACTCAGAGCGGTTTTACTCTACATGCCACATTTCACACACATTCACTCAGTGGTGGCAAAGCCCATCAAAAAGAAACTAACTCATTCATACACATTCACACAGCGATGCACAGCAGTATCTTCGCTCAAGGATGCTCCAACATGGGGCAGGAGGAGCTGGGGAATCGAATCTACAACTTTCCGATTGGTGGACGACCCGCTCTTCCTCTGGGCCACAGCCCCCCCCCGTCTGTGGGAAGTTTTCATTAGAAGTTACTCTTTCATCAGGACAGACTTTCGAAACACTGACATGAACACTGATGAAGCACTGACTAAATGCTACTGATGTATGTTTAACATTAAAGATCCTAACGTGAACCTTTTGTCTCTAATGTTTCACTGTTTTAGTCTTTAGTCTCGAGTGGTAGAAAGTTACTAAGTACATTTACCTAAGTACCACTTTGAGGCACTTTATACTACATTACTAGATTTAAAAGGGATTTATTTGACAGCTATAGTTACTTTTAAAATGAAAAGGACCAGTTGTGTAGGATCCAGTATTAGTTATGTATCAGTCACTCGGGACATTTTAAGTACATTTTTCTGGGAATACTTCTGTACTTTCACAAGTAGGTTGTAAATTCTAATAGAGTACTTTTACATGGTTGCGTTGGTAATTTACTTAAAAGGAGGACTTTTGTGGTGTGATTGCTACTCCCTCGCTTCACCCTCCCCATCCAAGCATGAAAGGGAAATTATGGTGGTTGCACAAAATGTGTCCGGCGCCGTCTAGAGTTTGGTTTGTCCATTCTGGGCGTTTGAACATGGCAGCGTAAGAGGACCCACTCCTTCTGTAGATGAAAACAGCTCATTCTAAGGTAACGAAACACAATTATTCTTATTTTTATACACTAATGAAAACATACCGATTAATATTATATCAAATTTCTGCCAATAGATCCTCCTAAATGTTACACACTGGACCTTTAAGTAAAGGACTTTAATATTTCTGCAACCACTTGTGGATCTTATATTAATCAATAACTCAACCAGTGGTCCTCTACAATTGTCTGTGGTCAGAAGAGACAATTGTAGAGGACCACCGTCAACATTGATCTGTTTCAAATACATAAAGAAAAAACCATTATGTTTAAGCACATTTTTACATCAGTATTCAGTTTTTCCACTTTGTCATTATAACTTAGTTTGTTTGGTTGTATTTCTCTTGAAAAACATTAGAAATACCAGCATATACGCAGTCAGTAACACACTCTTGGTTGGCCATCAACTAGTTCTTTTCACTCCCTTATCACTAGACATCAGTGCTGAACTCGCCTGTGCGTGTCGTACCACTGTGGTTCAGGAAATTTCAGCAATAACTGCAATCTTAACTGCATACCATAATCGTGACCGAACTCCATCTGCAGGACTTTCTTTCCAATATCTTGGTCAAATGTCACCCCCAGAGCTTTTCAGATATCTGGAAAGTAAGAAAATATGCACTTGACTGGGAACCTCTGTTGATGAAAGACTAGAATGAGATGGTGATACATGATTTACTCAGGATTTCTTGTTAACGTTTAAAGCAATCAATATCAAGTACTCGTGAAATCTTTAGCAGCTGTTTTAGAAAAAATGCTCACATTCATTTTGTCCACTCTGATCTCAGGACAGCTGAAACTGATGCTGCATTAAATGTTTCTTGGCCACTAGGGGGCAGATTAACTCTAAAACAAGCTGCTAATTAACTTCTTACACATTTAGCAGTCACAAGGTAACATCTCATTATCCAGTTGTTGTCTGGTTTCTGAGAACCTGATGAATATGAATCCATTATTCACAGGGAGAAAGAGCTGTGGTTCTTGCCTCCTTTCACTCTTGAGCTTTGACTATGTACATAAACCTGTTTATTAATTAAAGTTATACTCTACATTTGCCTCCACATGTTCCTCTTACACATCCAGGCTGATTGTTACAGTGATATTCAAATCTTGAAGTGTTTGATGAACCTGAAGACTAAAAGTACCGTGTTGAACCCTTAAATTACACACAAAATAGGCGTGAGTGCAATGTAAAAGTCTTAAAAGTGACTAAAAACAAAACAAATATCCATGTTTTCTGCATTAAAAGCTTATTTAAAAAAGCTATACACATAATAATGTAAGTATAACCTGGTGTTTACATGAATACAATTAAGACATTCAATATGTTCAGTATTCCATAATGCATTTATTTTTCCCCCCAACATTTAAAAATAGCATTTACTAAACATAAGCAGACAAGACTGTGCATAGCTGCACCTCTGTACAACATTTTTGCACCTTGACACCATAAATAAA